AATGTTAGGGGTTGCAGGAAAATCGAAGGATGGTGTTAATGCTCGGCGTGATTTAGAAGATATGAATATTAGAAAACCCCTACATTTGCAGTTAAGAGGGTCGAATAAAGCCTATTTACCAGCAGCACAATTCACGATGACCAAGGATGAGAAAGATTTGTTCTTGAAAGTGTTGAAGGAAGTAAGAGTTCCCGACGGGTATTCATCCAATATATCACGTCGTGTGCGCTCACATGATAGAAGTATTGGGGGTCTTAAGAGCCACGATAGTCATATTCTGATGCAACAACTTATTCCATTGGCTATTCGCAGATCGTTACCGAAGAATGTAATTGAACCTTTTATTGAATTGAGCAATTTCTTTAGACAATTGTGTTCGAAAGTGAATCGTTCGACGGATTTGCAATATATTCAAGATCGTATCTCTATAACACTTTGTCATCTAGAGAAAATATTTCCTCTGAGTTTTTTTGATATAATGGAGCACTTGCTTATACATCTAGCTGATGAAGCGTTATTGGGTGGAGCGATTCAGTTTCGATGGATGTATCCAATTGAGAGGTATCTTCTTACTTTGAAGTAATACGTGCGTAATAGAGCTCATCTTGAAGGATCAATTGCTAAAGGATATCTTGTGGAAGAATGCATGAATTTTTTTGCACAATATCTCAATGATGTAGAAACCAAATCTAGTAGACCTGTGAGGAACTACAGTGGTGATGATAATCTGGGTCGTGCTGTTGGTGAAAACACAAGCTTTTATCTTGATAATACTTCTTGGGTACAAGCTCATCGGTACATCTTATTCAATACAAGCGCGGTTCAACCATTCATAAAGTAGGTTAAGTCACTCACTCAATATGTTATTATGTTTTATTGAATTTTCAACAAAATTTTTTGTATTGCTAAAATATCAATCTACACAGCAAACATCTTGAAGTACTTCAGCTCAAAATGCCTCGTGTCGACGATCATCAGCTTCGGCGTGAACATTTTGAAACTTTTCACATTTGGTTCAAGGAACATGTATGTATTTAACTCTATAGATTCTAGTTACTTAAGTCGAACTACATTTTAAATTTTACATTTTCGTGTAAAATAGGTCCAAACTTTGCGAAGGACTACTGATGTCATACTTTCTGAAGAGCTTATTCTATTGGCAAATGGTCCTCATAACTTGGCAAGGAGGTTCAACGGGTATATACTGAATGGGTTTCGGTATCGAGTAAAGGCCATGGATGATCGTCGAGCCACACAAAATTGTGGTGTAGCTTTGAAGGCAGATACCATAAGTTATGCTAGTCGAAAAGACAAGAATCCTCATCTGGGGTCTGTGTACTATTATGGACAATTGACAGATATTGTTGAGATTCGATATTCTAATGAGAAGAAACATGTGTTGTTTAAGTGTGATTGGATTGACAACATTTACGGAAAGAAAGAAGATGTCTTCAATTTCACGTTGGGGAACTTCAATCATTTGTTGTACCGAGATGATCGAATTACCAATGAACCTTTCATCTTGGCGTCCCAAGCAGAGCAAGTTTGGTATGTTGCAGACCTGTTACAACCAGACTGGCAAGTCGTGGTGAAGATGTCTCAAAGAGGTTTATTTGATATGAGTTCGACTTATCCACAAATCGAGCCATACATGAGCCAACAATTAGAAGAAAATATAATGCTTCGTGATGAAGAAGTTGGTTGGGTGAAGGAAGCCGCAGAAGGGGAAATAGTTAATGTTCAAATAGGCTGATATTTAATCAATATTAGTACTTCAATTAAGGCCAAGGTTGTGGTGAATCATCAATTTCTTAATGTAACAACCCACATTTATGTCTTGGTCATGTTCATGAACATTGGTATGATTATGACTCGTTAAGCTTGTATTTGCATGTTTATGACTTGTTTTGCCTAGGTAAGATCCATGCCTTGTTTTGATGTCTATGCGATTTGCCTAAGTATTGTGTGCATGCTTGTTTCCTTCCTTGGTACCCCGAGCCTAAGTTATGTTTAGCCGAAGTCGAGCCAAGCCTAGGTTACGTTAAGCCTAGATCATTCCAAGCCGAGGTCATCTTCAGTCTAGAAGTATCTTGGAACCCCTTTGTTTGACCTCTACCTTCGCCCTGGCATATTGGCCGAGATGTCATTATCTAGGCCGAGGTGTTCATCACCAAGGCCGAGACGTGTATCATCTAGGCCGAGATGTTACATTTGCACCTGAGTGATCTTGTCCTGGAGTGGTATGACCTAGACCGAGGTGTGGCACATCTAGGCCAAGGTGTGGCACAGCTTAGTCAAGTGTCGTCCTTCCTAGCCGAGGTCATTGTCAACTTAGTTGCCGAAGCTTTTTCATTAGCCGATGTCATCACTTGCCAGAGTGCCATACCGAGTAGCTTGTTAGATACGCTTTGTCATAGCCTTGTCTTGTCAATCTATCACCTTTTTGAGAAGAACCAACTAGTCGTTGCCACGTGTCCGAGCTGAGAGTTAAGTCAGCCGATAGAGAGAGAGAACCCATCATTTTGTTGTATACTTGTTTTGAAGAGGAGAGAGAAGCTCTAGGAGAGGAAGAAGAGTTCTTGAGAGAGAGTGGATTTCTAAGCTTGATTTCTAGAGATCGAACCGTTAGATCTGTGTTCTAAGGTTAGATTCTTGATCCGCTCTTGTTGTTCTTTATGTTCATGCTATTGCATTGCATGATTGAATATGATTTGTAAGCCATGCATTGCTTTGAAGTTCGGTTTTAGAAAGAGAAAATGGCATTCATGTGTTCTGCAAGAAAAGTCATGTTTTGATCCGAAGGCTCATGCCTAGATCTATGTTTTTGTGTTTGTTTTCGCATGATTTTCAAGTATGGGTACCCAGGTCCATGTTTTCGAACTCAAAGCATGAAATCCCAGATTTTTGTTATAAAGAAGTTATGATTTTAGCATCCATGTTCTTTATGATCTTCATGTTCATGTTCTTCCTGTTCTTCACCGGGGGGGGAAACCCAGATCTCCAGACTTCACTTCCCGAGGTGTAGTCGCCGAGATCACTCTCACCAGACCTCACACTTAGGCCAAGTATCGTATCTCACCTTGGCCTACCTTGCATGATCACTTACACCTTTAGTTGTCTTGTGCGCACCTCGGCATGCAGCCGCATGCTGAAGCCTAGGCAACCACACCTCGGCCAGGAGGTGTGGGACCTCGGCAAAGACCTGGTTGGTACCCAGCATGTCTTCCTGACATGTAAAACAGTGTTTTGACTTCCAGCATATTTTCCCGAGATTATTTGCATGCATGTGAGACTAGTTTGAGAAGTGCATTCAGTGTGCTTTGCCATGTGTTTGTAGGACTTGGACCTTTGCCTTGACCCCGACGTCCCAAGAACTAAAATGAGTGGTATTTCTAATAAAGTTATGTTATAACGTTTTGATAAAGCTTTGACTTGATTTGATAAAGGTATTTGTTAAGCATGAATGATATCCCTATTTTATGTATCAAGTAAGCTTTGTTTGGATGACAATCTTTGAAAGTCCATACGTGCCAGGGGACTTTAAGCAATTGTGGCACAAGTCCGTACGTGCTAGGGGACTTTAAGCATTAGTAGCACATATGTGAAGTCCGTACGTGCCAGGGGACTTTAAGCAATTGTGGCACAAGTCCGTATGTGCTAGGGGGCTTTAAGCATTAGTAGCACATATGTGAAGTCCGTACGTGCCAGGGGACTTTAAGCAATTGTGGCACAAGTCCTTACGTGCTAAGGGACTATAAGCATTAGTAGCACACATGTTAAGTATGTAAGTTTTGAAGGACCAAGATTTGATTGGTGAACTTGATTCATCCCATGTTTTGAACAAGCTATGATATATGTATTGTTTTGACAAAGACCTCGGGAATCATTCATTTAACCCCTTTATTACTTATACCATTCACTGAGTATCCAAGCTCACCCTCCCTATGTATGTATGTAGGTAACAAGTAAGAAGTCGACTACGCCGAGATGTGTGTCTTGTATGCATGTTATGTCGGTAGTAAGGACGTCGGCAATCTTGAAGCTTTTGTGTTTGAACATGTCGGCTTGAGAAGCCCTTTTGTTAAGATGTAATATGTATTTTTGTACTTCATTTCTATATGTATTCAAGTTGTAAAGCTATGTAAAGATGTATGCCATTCCATTTGACTTATGCACTGCTCTTATGGACTACTTGTATTTTAGATTATTGCTTCCGCATTTGCGAGCCCCCTATATCTATACTCTGATTGTGTGTGAATTTTGAAAGTTGGCCTATGGTAATCTCGGATTACTGGCCATCACGGCACCAAACTACTAGGGGCGGTTTGGGGTCGTGACACATTAATTTACTTGTCTTCTGTAATTGTATTTGTTTCAATTAATGTCATATATTAGTTTGATGAAAAACCATTGTCTATGTTTCGAATGTCAATTAATGTTTATATTGCTTGCTGATTATTAAATGGAAAGGAAGAGGAAGCCTGATCATCCTTGGCGCATGATGTCTGATGTGCTACATAACATGACATCAGTAACACCACCTTCACGAGGAGGCATCACATCGGCCACCATCGGGGGCCATTTGTGCCCACCCCATCTGATGGCCATTTAGTATCCACCGCACTCGAACCAGCATCAGTGGCCACCACAGCAGCTACCATGTACTTCAAGCCTCCACGCCTACCATCGGTGCGATCCACCATCAGTGGGCACCACAGCACTCTATTCATTCCCGACTTAGACGTCATTCAGGCTTATCGAGCCCATCCGCAGGTATATAATTTGCTTTGCTTTGTATGAAAATTATCTTAAAACATACATTCCTACTTTATGCTCATTATATATAACTTGTTATTGTCATTGTTATTTTGCAGACCCTTCGCACTTCTTTCACACGCCCACCTCAGTATTCACATTATTTTAAATTTTTTGCATTTTTTTATACCATTGCATATTTGTTTATTGTTATTTGTATCTCGCAGGTCATGTTTAGATTCTTTCATTCAACCTCGACTAGGCTGGTAAGGTGTGCCAAGCGGCATTTAAAGAGTGGCTGTATTTGGTAAAAAGCTTGACATACAATTGATGAAAAATTTACTGCCCTAATAGGGGCGATAACGGGCTAAGTTAACTTACTTCAACTTCGTGCATATTGTGCGAATGAATGGTAACATTGTTCCTCTTACTTTTCATTGGACTGTAACAATGTTGCCTGATGATATTGTTGATGCTTCTGGAAAACGATGTGAAGGTAAAAGTATATTTTGTCCCAAATTCGAATTTCAACAATTGTGTTTATTATTATTTAAACCTTATGAAATTGTGTTTATTAGGACAATTTGAATATATGTCCAGGGGAGTACAAGCAATCTGGCATGAAAAACTGCAACAGCATATGGAAGGATCACAATGAACCAAGATTAAGGCTAAAGTATTTCAAGCCTAGAAGTTTCTTGTTCCTTAATTTGAAGGATGATGTTTCCTTTGCACATTGTGCCCAAGCCGGGGGAAGAAACTTGTGGAGTATTGGCGTACTTTCGATTTGCTGAGCGTAACAAATAAGTTATATTTATGATATGAAACATTACCAAATTCATATTATCATCTTACATTTGTTGAACCTGTTATAGGAAAATTGCAAGTTCAGGAACGCTAAAAATTCGGCGATGCTTCACGCATAGCTCATACCACAGGGGCGTACTACTTTCTCTCAAATTACCGGCAGAGCATTTATATTTTTATTTTTTTATTTTTGTATATAAATAAACATTTTATATTTGCAAATTTATTTGGATTCTAATTTTCATATTTCTAAAAAAAAATTTGTATATGGATATAAGGGGGGGAGTCATTTTTGATAAGATGAATGTTTGGGCTTATTTGACACGTAGTAGAGGGCAGATGACCCAGAGATCTATCCAGATCCTTGCTAGTTCCAAACACCTTTGATTGTTATTTAAAGTTTATTTTTTGTGTTCAACCATCTAATTTGGATATACTTGTATGTCTTATTTCAATTACAGGATGAGTTTAATCGTCAAACTCTCTATGCTACCTGACGGTATGGTCGGGCACTTTGGAGGCGTTAGGATGCCATTTTCCAGAGTTGACAGGTCATGACGCGACATGGATGTGGTCGCACATACGGAGAATTGGCCTCGGAGAGGCAAGTGTATAAAGATTGGTGCTGCGGGCCATACAGTCAACACCCCAGCCATCGACTATTGAATCAGATCACGCCAGCAGGTTCCATGCAGAGCTAAGGGATAAGTTGACGG